CACATGGTAGTAATTTATCTGTGAATAATATTTTACTTTGCTGTGAGTTCTGTGTGTTGAGCACATAGCTGATTAAAGGTTAATAATGCAAAGCAAAAGGTTAATAATTCAAAATACCTTAATCTGTTTAGTATGTTGGAAAACCAGGACTCAGGGTTTTTTTCTGGAATCACTATAAAATTTATCCAAAACATACTGGTAACTATGAACACAATGATCATTAATTATTTTTTCTAGAAATGTCTGTGATTTCTTTGTGCAGAAGAAACCTTTGACCTGTATTAATATGAACTAACATTTGCAAACCAGCTTTAAATGCTTGAAAAAGGCTTCCAGTTTAAACACAAATGCTCTCTTGCAGCTCCTAGTCCTGTGTGTTTGAGCAATAGCCAAATTGTAGGGTGATTTTTAGGGAGAGCTTTACCTATTGGGCTGGTGATCCACTTGCTGGTGAATGCCACTTCGTAAGAAGCAATGCTCAGATTCTCAGAGTTCCCAACAGTCTTTTTCCACTGCCTGTGGTCTGAATATGTGACAGCATGGGCATGTGAGTAATTTGTTGTGCTGGAAACTTGCAACAGAGGCTGGCTTACTAGGGAAAAAACCACTACAGATACTTTCTTATGCTTATGGTTTGGTTTAAATTTCTATTTTCAAGAATTGGTAATTCTCAAATCTATGAAAAATGGTTCGTTCAGCTTTTTTACAAATAGTTGAAACCTGCATCTTTTTGTTGGTCAGCTGTAGCCCAATAGATTATTTCTTTTTCCAGGTTGGAATTAACAAATATGGTACAAATAGGGTTTAAAAGTTTTGCCTCTTTTGATTTACTTTCTAAAATTGATCTCTTTCTATGTTACATCTAAGTCTGCCTCATTTTGGTTTTGTTATATAATCTCTTTAAATACCAAGGAAGATAAAAACTAAATTATGTAGGCATTCCACAATACTTTTTTTTATAGTAGGAACAAGTTAACTGGTGCAGCAAAACTTGGAAAAAAATTTGTTTCCAAATCCCAGCTTTCAGCTCCTACCCAAAAATAAATCAACAAACCCTCTGAAGTTGTAGTTAAAGACCATAGTAACAAAACTCTTGGAAACACTCCCACATAATACTATGAATATTTGGAAAATAATATAATAATACCATGAAAATGTGGAGAAATAATACAATAATACTGTGGATATTTGGAAAATAGCTTCCCCTTCTTTCTTCATACTTCTTGCTCCACACTTCCATTCTGTCTTTGTGACAAAGTTTATTGAAGTACCAGAGAAGAACTTCTGTTACTGTATGTTTTCAGGTAGCCCAGTCTTGTAGGAAAGGAGCATTGAAGGAAGATGTGAAACTTATCCTCAAGGTATAAGTTTCAGTACTTAGTACTGTTACTTAGTGCTTAATACTTCTAGTGTTTAATACTCTTGCTGTAGAGCTTTTCAAATACTGCTACACAAATACAAAGCAAAATACGTAGTAAGGAAATATATGATTTGTGCATAAATTGTAAGGAGAAGAGAGAAAGAGGTAACATGCTGTGTTTTATAAACACACTATACATGATAAGGAAACAGAAAAATACCATGTAAATAGCATAAGTAATCCTTTCTATTGTACGACAATACCAGTTTAGATTTTGTATTTATTTAGATCTATTATACAGGAATAAATTTAGAAGTTTGTTTTAAATAACTTACTAACATTATAGTTTTTTGAATCTTATGATCAATTGACACACTTGAAAGTCTAAAAAAAGCAGTGTTTTCCTCCAAGATGACAAAAACTTTGTAATAATATTTTTATTGAAACTCACTTTTACACCAAACTTGTAGGAAATCAGAATTTGAAAATTTCAGTAAATTATAAAAGTTGTTAGTGGTGGTGGGTTTTTTTGTTTTGTTTGGTTTTTGTTTTTCTCCCCCCAAATCCCAGCTTAAATTTAAGGGTAATAAATTCATGCCAAGAAATAAAATCTTGATACATACCTACATTACTGATGGCTGACAGAATTCTGTGGGTGAAAGGGAGGATGTTAAAGTAACCTGGATTGTCACCAATTAGATCTCTTCTTGATGACCTGAGAAGATTGAGAAAGTAGCTGGTAATGTTATATTCTTTGGAGAAAACAAAGATTAGTACAAAAATCATCAGTGTAAACCACACCTTTTTGTGTTGGTTCTAGAAGGGCAGACATGTCTGCTGTGAAACTGATTTTATATTTCCTTGAAATGAAAGCAAGGTTGAGGAAAAAACCAACCGGACAACTCTAGAACGAAAAAACCCACCAAAAAACCCCAAACCTCAAACCTAAATCTGTGGGTTAGCCTATATAGGACAAATAATTATTTTTACTTGCTTTGCTCTCTTGTCATGAAAGTGGCTATTGAAATGCTAGAGGATTGTTTGCCATCTGCACTGCTGGAAGAGCTGTGAGGAATGTTGCCTTTTAATGCCCCTGCCAGGTCCCTCTGCAGCTGCGGTGCAGTAACCAGCACCTTGCCTTAGTTATCTCTAGGAAAATAATATAATACTACTGTGAAAATATGGAGAAAATAATACAATATTGCCTGTGAGCTGCCCTTGTGAAGGGATAGGAGTTTGCTTGCAATCTTTGGCCATCCAGTTGAGTCTGTTTTGCCTAGGACAGTACTTGGTACCTGATCTCCCCATCTGTATGTAGACCCCTTCTTCATGTTAGCTGCCCCCGTCCTGCTGAAGAGGAGGGGAATTCTGGCTTTTGGCCCCCACTGACACACGAGGCCAGGCTACCAGAGGCAAGCTTAGTAGTGCTCTTGAGGACATGGCAATATGCATTACCAATCCATCTTTGTGTAGCTGTGTGGAAGAAGGCTGCTTTAACTGAGTGAACGATGTAGAGGGGAAGGAATGTGACAGTGGGATGTCTGGATAGGAGCCTGCTTACAGATGAAGTGTTTGGTTGAATGGAGAGTTGTGCTTCAAAAACAAACCAAAAAAGAAAATAAGGAAAAGGGGGAAAAAAAGAGGGAGACATGCTTTGCAACCCTGGAAGAACTGAAGGAATTTGAAAGAGTTGTGTATGGGGAGGAGGATAGGAGGATGAGAAAGGAGTAATCCGTGGGCTTTGAGGGAGAGCCTTTTGTGGCATACTTTAGATGTTAGTGACCTAGAAGAAAACGTTTTTGTTTGCTACATAGGTTACATAGAGAAAGCATAAACCAATTATCTGCTTACATTTTCTTCATTTCAAATATTACCTTTTAATCAGTCTTCAGATCTTGTACAATGAAAGCTTCTGATTTGCAAAGGAAAGGTGAGATACATCTGATGAATAAGTTGTGTTTGGGTGGGAATGAATCAGTTATTTGGAGCAAGTTGTAAAGGTTCAGATTTAGGGATTTTTTTTTCCCCTATTTTTAACAGACAGTTGGATATTTTACTGGCAGCCTTTTTTGTATATATTTTTAGTTAATGGAACAGTGATTGCTGTGGTTAAGCAGTATATTTTAGTTTTCTAATCTAAAGTAGATGCTAAAATCAGATATTTGGGTCTGATAGGCAGGAAAAATAATAAACATATCCAGTCTAGCAGAGACAATCACAAACTATCTAGATGTTCTCTGGAAGAAAATAAGACTGTTGAATGGAGGTGATATGCAGGGGCAAGAGGGCACCTAAGCAAACATTTTGTGCAGTGTTTTGCCCTATCTGAACCACTGCTTTTGCAAATGAAGTAGAACTAACATGTGAGAGCAGTCTTTGTGAAGGAAAATCTTTAGAGTTTGCAAAGCAGTAATCATCTAATCATGGAGATACTAGACATTGTAAGAGATGAAAAAATAGATCCAAGCAGTAAACAGTCTTGTAGCTGATGCCTTCATCAGAACCCACCTGGTGCTATCTTTGCCTTTTCAGTACTGTTTTGAAAGTTCTATAGTAATACTCCTGTAGTTAGAACATTCACCTTTTCCGGCCCCCAAATGTCTTATTTGTCCTCTTTAATGTCTTTATTGATGACCTGGAGTAGGGGATCAAGTGCATCTTCAATAGTTCTGCAGATGACATTAAGGTGGGCAGGGGTGTTGATCAGCTGGAGAGCAGGTAGCTCACTTTGCAGAGGGAGCTGAATAGTCTGGGTCGATGGGCTGAGGCCAATGGTACGAGTATCAAAAAGGTGAAGTGCCAGGTCCTACATATGAGTCACAACAACCCCATGCAAAAAAAATAGCTGTAGGGCAATATCAGCTTTAAAAAGGGGAGAAGGAAAAAAAAAAAAAGAAGCACAACAAGCTTCTTTTAATGTTCTGCTTATTGCATTCATGGCACTACCAGGAACCAAAAACTAATCTAAGAAAAACTTACAGTGAGTGGTAGTTTTTGTTTGCTTTGATTTTCCCTCCTTGTACTTCGAATTAGTCTGCCTTTACTATATTGTCAGGTAAATTAAAAGCATTCACATTATTCTTTCATTATCTTATGGGACTTTTCATTAGTTCCCCAATCTCTTGTACCAAGCTGCCTTTCTACTTGGTGATTCTGCCCTCATTACGTTATTTGTTTTGTTTATACAAGTCAAAGGAGAGAGGGAAAAATTAGCTGAAATGTGTTTTCAAAAATACACGCTGTTTTTAAAATCTACTTGAAGCCTTTCAGGACTTATTCGGGTTGGATCTTTTGTATAATAGTGGGATTGGAAGCCTGAAGATTCCTCTTTAGTAATGGACAATTATTAACCTATGACTTTCTAAAAATATGTGAATTCCAACGCTTGGGTTTTGTACGTGGTTTCCACTGATCATTTTTTCACCTTCTATATAGATGAAGGTGAAAAGAAGTTAGGAAGGTGAAAGAAGTTAGGAAGGCAAAACACTTTTCAGACTATTTCACTGATTTTAAAATGGAATACTACTATTTTCTCGTCATAGATACAGGAGCTCATTTTTCCAGATGTACTTTAAAATATAGCTGTGCACATAAAAGTTTTCTCGGTTAGAAACACTGAGTATTTTAATTTTCTAAACAGGTGTCTCAATGCATGTACCTACTGTAAAACTAAGCATGCCAGAGGAGATCTAGCAAGTTATCCAATTGAAGAACTAGTGGACAGAGCCAAACAGTCTTTTCAAGGTAAGGAGTTTTATCCCTACAAAAAAAGTCAGACATTGAAGCATCTTATTTTCACAGGTAATGATTGTGATACATTATGACTTTGTTACTGTATTGATGTTCTTAATAGTCATAGCTGTGTCTGGCAGTGCCTTTGTGGTAGAAAGCCATGCTTTCATTGTGATGTGCACCTCTGTTTACAAAATTTAGTCCTACCATAAGGAATATTTCATTTTCATTTTAGGATTGCTCAAATGAAGTTCTATGCAAGGAACTTTTTTTTTTTTTTTTTTTTTTTTTTTTTTTAATAGAAAAACTGTAAAATTTGGTCATTTTACTCTATCTCTGGTTTCTTAAAGAATAAGACAGTAACCTATAAAGTAAATTTCATGAGCCTCCCTAGGATTCTTAAACCCCTGTTTAGGGATACATTGCTTTTTCTGGTAATGGATTTCCAAGAGAAGTTCTGGGATGTTTCTGAGAGTTATACAAAACCTAACAGCTTTTAAGTTTACTAGAATATTTATAATGTCACGTGGATTCAATCAAACATCAAAAGTTTTTCCTGCAGTACACTATCTGTACCAGTATCTGTCTAAAACTCATGTAAGTCTGGTAGTTATGATAGCTTTATTGTTTCTTAATATTTGTTCTTTAAATTTTGCCTATGTTTCAAAAATACAGATTTCCAAATGATGCCGGTAAGAGGCATTCTGGAAGATTAAATGTACATTTTACAATACAGAGGTAATTCTGCTGTAGCAGCTCCTTCATTTTCTGTATCAAATACTTTGAATTGAAAGCAGAGCAATAAATGCAACATTTGATGTCCCATCCTCTTTGCATGTACAAACTACATCCACTGGGTTTTGCTTATGACTCCGAGTGTTGCAGCTGTTCTAGTAAGAAGTAGGTCTCCAATGATTAAAAGTGTTTTTAAATCCATCCTTATTTAGAGATCCATAATGAACCTCATTAATGCCAGTGATGAACTTCTGGCTATTTCTATCAGTAGTATTCAGGGAACAGATCTTTTTGTAATCAAAGCCCATGTTCATAAATTCTAATTTCTACATTATCCACACAGAAAGTTCTCCTTTAAGATTGCAAATGCCTTTTTCTTTTGCTTTTGTTAAAAGCCAAGCTCCTCTCTTAGGTTTGTAGAATTAATGCTGTCATTGCTGTGGATTGGATTGTCTGTTAGGATAGACAGGAATCCTGTCTATCAGGTTTCTTGTTTAGTAGCACAATTTTCTAAAACCTGTAGGCATTTTATGAAATGGTCAGTAACTGAAATACAAGATGTGTAAAAACACTTATTGTTTTGGTGGAGAAGAAGTTCAGGAAATGTTTCAGAAAGCTAGAAGTACAAGATGGGTGATTTTGAAATCGATAACTAGTCACTGAGCAGGAGAGAAGCTGCCATTTATAAGTAGCATAAGAATAGTGTTATTCAGATAGCACTGCACAGCTGTTGAAAAATTCTGAAGAAACTTTGGACTATTCAGCAAGGAAATCTGGCAAAGATAAGAGAAGATCTGGGCAATATAGTCAGGATTATGATCTTTCTTAAGTTAACTATTTAAATTTTATTTAGATTTATGGTATGTGTGGGAAAAAAAATCAGACTTGTCTGTCCTCTTATAATTGTGTTTATATGCCACAAAGTCCACATTATATTACCATAAAGATGTATTTACTCAATATAACAAGAAAGAATACTGGAGTTTTATTTGTCTTTGCTGACAACGAATGTGAAATTTTGGAAAGTACTTTTAACTTCAAGTATTGTACATTTGGATTGAAAAATCAGTAATTCTATTCATCTGCTGCACTATGGCCTTTATTATAAATATTGACTGTTTCAAAATAACTTGATTTCTAATGGAAAAAGTTTCCCTTAAGCTATTGTTTTGAAATTTCTTGAAGAAATGCTATGACATGTCTCACAGCAGGCATCTCCAGGGAGTTCTATTCTTATTTGGCCTTACAGTAGTACCTCTGTTAGAGGACATAAGGAAAGAAGCAAGTACTGAGTTGTAAAATGACAGGCTTTGGCTCCAGCTTTCACATACTTAGAAACAGGGATGAAATAGTCAGATACTTAGTTTGCAGTGTATGGAGAATTTACTGCTGCCAGCTTGCTGCAGCTGGGCTGCAGAAACTTCATCAATCAAGTGAAAGACTTAAGCAATTCAAAGTCATTATTCAATCTCTTGCTGAGTTACTGAGCCACAGTCTCTTCAACAATCACTTCTGTTTTCTCAGAAGATGTGTTGCTGAAGCTCTAGTGAAAAATGCAGAGAGTTACAGATGTGTGATGAAAAGTTATTCCACTTTGCAGTTGTTGTTGGGAGAACTCAAATATCTTAGAAGAACAGCAGCAAAACAGTATGTGATTATTTTGTATAACTGCACGATTGAGTCATATAAGAAAAGAGAGACTGATGTTGTTTGCAGTGTTTAGTATGTATATATTCCTGCAGTACACAACTTGATAGGCTCGAAAGATGGGATGTTTCCATTGTGAAACACACTGAAAATGGATTAGAAGACCTATATTTCAGGACATTTTATTACAGGCCCATAAATCTCAACCCAAAGAAGTTCTCTAAAATGCTTTATTCAGGTGATCACACTTTGGTAAGATTGCAGTTAACATCTAGAAGCATCATTTCTATCATCAGTATGTTGCCAGAACTAGCTTTAGTGTTGTGGTCAGATACTCCCAATTTTTCTTCAGTCACTTCTGTATTGCAGCATCTGGGTAGGATAACTCTATGCAAGAATTTCCAAGCTGTAGGATATGCTGCATTACTTGTCTGCAAGCCATTTCAAGTAATTAGTGGACCACTCTTGGACTTCCATAATATGGTAGATAATAGTATGACATCTGTGTGACAGCAGCTGTAAGGTGGTGCCTGACAGCATCACTCTTTTTGATGTTTTTCTCCAAGATGACTTCTGAAGATTTTTGAAATTCTTAGGCTTTTCAGTCAAAATTTAGCTCTGTGACTTTATTTAGCTGGTGGGTTTTGAGAGTTTTGCATACATGACGTAGGTTAAGTAGGCATTTATTTCAGTATACTTTAGGGTCCAAACCTTAATCTTTTTGGTCACTTTTTAAAATAAAAGATCAATACTCAGCTGAGAATGGTAACTAGATGACAGCAGATGGTGGAGCTGTAATAATTTACATGAGTGTTCAGATTATTTGTATAAACATAAACTTGATTTAAACCAGCTGATTAAAAAGAGATGGCTGAAATAGCCGTGATTGAACAAGTATCAGCCTATATCTTGTAGATTTCTAACCTCTGAAATAAGTTGTTTTTCTTTTTGTATATTATTGTAATATCTTAAATTCAGTGTAATGTGCACAAATAGTGTGTTGTAGGGTTCTCGTACATGCTGCATACTTTCTTAATACATTGGACTAAGTGTTAAAATGTACTGAAATGGAGGGTTTTTTGCATACTTTGTATGGGTCATGTTTCCTGTCTGACCTCCACAGTAGTTTTGAAGTTACAACTTCAATAATTCACAAAATTTCATTGACAAAGTAATCTATCTCAAATTGAAAGTAGTCTATTGAGTTTTTTTCTTATTTAACTTTAATGTTTTTTCTGTAAAGTTCAACTTTTAGTAAGTAGTTAAATTTTTTACATGGTCAGACTTGTCAAATCACAATATATAGCAGACTTGTGTAAGACAGCTAGTAATAGAAAAAGTATTGTGAAATACAGTGAAGTGGTCTTTGAGTAGAGAACAAATGTCTACTGTAAGGTTATTTATGCAATGAGTTTTTCTATAGCTGATTGTACAGCACTTTCTTTGGCTCATCAATTCATGAGTATGTTTTTTTTTCAAAATGTGCTGTGTCATGTTCAATGCTTTATTTTAGGGATTGCATTTACAGTTATGAGAGGGCTCTTTCTTTCCTTCCCAAAGCTACTTTATATATAACAAAGTGGTTTTGCTTAGTATATGAAGTGGAAGGCTGGCATAGCTGCCATTGGTGAACAGTGTGCCAAGGAGACACAAAAGTTAAACAAGTCTGAGGTTTGAATGTTGTGTGGAAGTGGTGTCCTGGGATGGCTTTGGATAAATTGCAGGATTTTAAGTTGATTTTCTTTTTACTTAAGCGGAATTTCCATGATCATGAAAGGATACCTAACAGAAAATGCTACCTAGTGATTTGTAAAACCTACATATTGTGAGAGACTTTCTGAGCAAAGATAATACTTTATATTGCAAGTAATTTTTTGCCCATTCAGCAAACTAAATTAAAAATATAACTATTTTTACAGGGTTAGCTGTTATTTCTTTCTAGTTTAGAATGAAAATCTTCTGCATTTACCAGTACAAAACTACACTTCTTTCGCATTGCCTGCCTGTTGCAGGTGGCAGGGAATATACTGCTATTAAAATATACACTCTATAATTACTACTATATTAGCTTATTTTATGGTAGCAACCAGGGTGCTCAAATGAAAGTCACATCTTGTTGGGAAACACTGTTTCTCAAACTATGTGGAACAATTGGTTCTGGATGGATAATTGTAATGGCAAAATATAATTTATTTTTATTCCAATATTCTGGTTAGGAAATCTTGACAACATGTGACATTACAAAAGAGAGGAGTAGCAATAAAATTAGGAGTTTTGGCTTTCATTAGTTATCTTTAGCTATTATCCCTAATCTGGTAGATCTTGGAGTATTGAGACTTTAAAGGAGATTCACGTTAAATATTTTTCTCTCTACAAGTTTACTGGAAGCAGATGTTCATTCATAATGATAAGAATTGATTCCATATAATGTGACTGGTTTTCAAAGCTTTTCAGATCACTCTGAGCTCTGCTGAGGATCTTTGGTTTTAGTAGTTCTTAAGAAGTACTGTCAAGACATTCTGCTTTATTACCAGTAGCTGTTTTGCACCTGCACAACTACCAGTTAAGTTCTCTGTATGATTTCAGAGCAGCTGACAGTCATTAAAGGACAAATATTAAGTATCAGCAGC